AGGATAATAATAAAATAAAAAAATAACATTAAAAATTATTTTAATAAGAAGGATGAACCAAGTGTGATGCTATCAATTTATTAATGTTCAGCTCTCTGTCAGCACCATTCTTAAATCACTATGATTGGTTATTTGTAGTCAGTTTATTTTTTAAGTTAACAGATTTGTGACTGCACTGATTCCCATGTTTCACTAAATATGATGAAGGGAACATATTTAAAAACTTTTATAGTATAGTCCATAATCCGGGATAAAGTGTAGGCATCCATTTTTGCAGCCTGAACTGTTAGTAGCAGTCTTTGGATTTAAATTTCAATTCCTCATTTCTTGTTTCTTCTATCAGTATTTGTAATTTTGGAGATTGTTGTGTGTTTGTACTTGATAAAGTGTCCAAAACACAGTCAATTATGTTATTTTAAGAATATCTTCAAATCATTGATTGAAGTCAGAATTGAGATCTTCCAAGTGCTGATAATAGATATAAAAAAAGTCTTCATTATGTTCTACTGTTGATAAATTTGGAAACTGAATTCCCCTTGACCTAAACATAATTTATTCAGAAGAAGTTTAGCCATAAATGCAGAAATAACAGTTTTTGTTTTGATTAAAATCAGCTCATCACCTTGGAACATTAGAGTTGCTTCATTAAATTTGTTAAACAAGTCCATCAAAAATAAGCTATGTCTTTTTGGAATCAATCCAGTTGACTTGTAAAGCATCATCATTGTTTTCTAGGAACTCTAGCACTGAGTCAAAGTCAAAGTTTATAAAACTAATCCAAACAGGCACCTTTTGATAGCCAATGATCTGTATGATGCAGCAAGTAATTGAATTCTTCATCATTTTCAATGCAAAACTGTCCAATCTGTCATTCAACAAATTGCTTCTGATTTTGTTGATTGCTTTAATGACATAATATAATGACCTATGCAGGCATTTACTCAGTTTTTTTGGCAGCCAAATGTTGACAATGAATGACATAGTGTATAGTGAATACATTTGGCACCACTTTTTTAAATATGCAAGAAAACTCTTGTAGCATCTTATCACTTGAGTGCTATCAGTAGAAACTGACAAACTCTTACTTATAGATTTCTTTATCTTTAAAAAAAAAGTCTTCCAATGCATGAATTTGATTCATCTTTAGTATCAGTTTGAAAATTTTTAGCAAATAATAATTCTTGGCAAATTTTTTTCTTTTATGTATGACACATAAGCTAAAAGTAAGACTTCATTTCATGGCAAGGTTGAAGCTGTGTGAAGCTTGATGAGCCAACTTAAATACTCATTTCAGGTCCCGAAGACTTTAAAACCTGAAAATGAAGACTATGATCTCCAAAAAAATTTGTTCTACTGTGTAAATATTTCACATTACTGCTGGAGTAATTTATACTTCATAATTTCTCTAATTTATTGCCATTACTTATACATTTTTAAAAATAAAATTATATTAATATTTAAAATAGACAAGAATTTACTCATTAATAATTTTTACAAAAATTATATAATATATATTTTTATTTTTATAGTTGATGGAGCTATTCATAGAGCAGCTGGGAGTGAACTCAAAGCTGAATGTGCAACTCTTAATGGCTGTGAAACAGGCAATGCAAAAATTACAGGAGGTTATAGATTACCTGCCAAGTGTAAGTTAAAATTCATTATTCATAATGTATACATTGTTTCTCGATTCTAAGACACACCATGAGTTTGGATTGAATTTCAAGATGTTTTTACAGAGGAAAAACTTTCAAATAATCAGTTTTATTAAGTTTTTAGAAAAACAATACAAATACCATGAAATAGATAATATTTAGAAACTGTAACAAAATGCTGTAGGAAATGTTATAAAAGTTTCTTTAAAACTAAAAGATAATTTTGAAAAAATATATGTTCTGATGTTATATAATGAGAAATGTATATAACAACTATTCCAGCTTTAATGCTTTTTAATGCCAAATTTAATATTATTAATTCAGATTTGCCAGCTTTTCTTTACAACTATTGGATATTTAGTCTTAATTCTTAGCAAAAGCATTGACAAAGATGTAAAATTCAGTTTATTTAATTTTTAATGCTTGCTTCAAAAAGTTTGATTTTTAAGAACTAAATAGCCATGATATTTGTTACTAATGATGCACCAATTAATCAGTAGACAATCAGTAATTGGGTGCATTGGCTCTTTGACTGACTAATCAATAATCGGGTTGTTAAGCCAATTAAGCAGCCAAATTACTAATTATCATTTTTATTATCAATTGTTACTTTCTGTTAAATTTAAGCCAGTTAGTTAATCTCTGACAAAGAACATATCAGATAATTCCATTAATAATCTGAAATTGATAAATGAAACATTTTCTGTTTGGGATTTGACAAAATATCCTAATAAATCCATATGTAATATTTAATAATTGATTATTTATTAATAAATAATTAAATATTCAGGAGCTAAATTTCAAGAATCTCACTTATTTCTGAGAAATACTCTCTGGAGGAATTACAATGGAAAACTTTCCCTTGCTGTTATGTTATTAATTACAGCAGTGTTTCCCAACCCGTGTGTCACAGCACATGGGTTGGGAAACACTGCTGACACAACTTTCCGCAACACGCCCGAGTACCTCAGGTGCGTTGCATGTTGTGGGAATGTTGTGAATTTTGAATAAGAATTTCGAACAATAAGAAATTAGAATTTTGAATAAGCTCTTTTTTAAAATTTCATTTATCTTTCATTGCTTTACCACTAGCTGACTAAAGGGAGGAGGAGGTATTCACTGCCAATTGTAAAATTTATGGTACCAGCATAACAACTCTGAAGTTTCCATAAACACTGCAACTTACCAACTAAAAGACTGATACTAGATAAAGCTCTTTACATGTTGATTCAAATAAATTTAAAAATCATATTATTGTATTATACTATAGACTCAATTCCTAGTATAATATCAATCAGCATTTTTAAATTTTAGACATTTTGCAACTTTAAAACTGTTTTACTAGTTAGGCAAAATTATAAATTTGAGAAAATTCCTAATAAATCCAATATTTGTTTTTGACATATTTTCTTTCCAGAGCCCTCATAATTATCCTTCACATCCACAGTCTGTGGGCAGGAATTAATTAACTAGTCTAAAAATTAAAATAAAAGTGCAAAAATTAATAATAAATAAAAGCAATTTAAACTGTACTCTTTATCACTTTTTGATTTTCATTTTAATAATTTTGTGTAACAAAAACTTTATTTTCAATAAAATTTTCTCCACTTCATTAATAATTTTATAAAATTTGTAAAATTTATACTTTTGTAGCAGACTACACTATTGCCAATAAAGAGGCGAGAGCCAATGTTCTGTTGTTTTTTTGTTAATCAAACTTTCTTCAGTCTTTCCATTTGAGACCTGGTTCAGATGAGTGGAATTCTGCTATTGTTTTTTCTGCAGATGGAAGATGGAAGAATCTGTTTTGAGTTTACTAGTTGCCATTAATGCTCATTACCACACAGTAGTAGTGTTCTTGGGACTTTAATTCTTAAAAAGAAAAAAAAAGTATTGGGTACATTCAGTTGTGAACAGTCATTCAGTACAAGGAACTTTTTATATGTTATTTAACAAGCTTCAAAAGACCAAATCAAAATTTTTTAATTACTTCAAGATATCATTTCCAAGCTTTGATAAATTGTATCATACTCTCTAATTTCCAAAATTTACCACTAGGCAGATGATACACTGACTATGCACTCTTCGCACATTTGCTGCTTCCATTCATGTAAATTATTCAGTTTGATATAATAGCCCATAGTCAATCTGCAATGACTGCATTTCACTATAGGCAATGTGGCTGACAAGCAGTGATGTTCCACTGCCACAGACTTTCCATCAAGTATGAATTATTACATTTAAGTTAGTATGCTGCAGCAGTTGATAACCATGTGGTTACTGTTCCTCATAAATTCCATTTGTCTGAACTTGGCTGAATGAATCATAGCTGCTAGTCCCATCAAATAAACAAACATTTTTCAACTGTGAGTAGACAATATTATTTATAACAGAAGTGGGACATACATTTTTACATGTACTGTCCCAAAATCTGTGATGCTGACTTCTAGGAAGGACAAGGGAGAGCCTCCCTCTCATTTCAAAACATGAATTTTAGCTCCTAAAATATTTTAATTGCATCAAGCATGATGTGGCTTATAACCACAAAATATCTTTTAACAATTTATTAATTCTGAAATGTCTTTAAAAATTCTGTGTTAATTTAAAAATTTAATCTATAGATCCTTTAAAAACTAAAAGCAATGGTTTATTAGAAATTTTACTCAATTAAAAATATTTATTTATATAATAATTGTTATATAAGTATTTGCTGATCACTCTATAAACATATTAATGTATTTTGCTAATGACTGAAGTCAAGAGTATTAGCAGTAGAGATTTTAAAAAACAAACAGCATTGTCATGTTATTTAATCTCTTTCTGTTGCCTCATAAATAAGTTATTATTCCACATCATGGGTTTTCCTAGTATATCTAAATAAAAAAATAAAAAAATAAGTTATTGTTGCTTTTGTGGAACATTTACTTACAAAACATTCAAGGAATTTTTTAATCATATATAAATTCTTATTAATTATTTAGTTTGGTCACTACTTTGGTAGTTAAAAATCTATCATTGGCCAATTTTTAACTGCTAGTTAATCAGTAATCAGATAATTGGCCAAAATGCTTATCAGTGCATCACTAATTATTACTATTTAATTTCATTTTGGAGGTAATAATTTAGAATTTACAAAATACTAAACATGTTTACTCTGGTAACTTCTTTTATCATCTGAACTTTTGAAATAAATAGCATAAAATTGAAAATTAATGATTTCCTATTATTTAATTCCTTTGTTTGAATTGGAGATTTCAATATATTTTTATTACCAATTTATTAAATTGAAAAATTGCATATATTACAGAATTACCATTTAATTTTTATTTAAAATATTTCATATAGATGTTATACACACTGTTGGTCCTATTGGAGAAAAACCAGACAAATTAGCAAGTTGTTATCAGACATCTTTAAATCTTGTAAAAGAAAACAATTTGAGATCAGTAGTAAGTAACTTTGTATTTTGAACATTAAACAACTTAGAATAATGTGTGTCAACTTTAACAATAATGAAATATATGTTTAATATCAAAACAAGAGTTTAGTTTCACAATGTTCATTTTATTTTTTAACCTATTGGATGGTCAAAGCTTTTTCCGTTGCATGTGACACTATGTTGAATTTTCGTCAATGTTAAGCCTAACAAAAATTACATGTTTTTGAAAAGAATAATTGTGGCTGTTGTATTGTCTGAAATTGTTTTTCTATTTTACTCAAACAAAATAGATAAATTAATAAATGTAATAACAAAAAAAAATTATATTTTGAAAGTTAGTTTTAATATAAAAATTATAACAATTAGCAACCTCTACTTTCAAAAATGTTCTGATGCTGAAACAAGATATCTCGGGTCAACCGGTTGAGGTCATAGGTCACGACCCTGAGATATGTCAGGAATAACACAGGACAGGTTAAATAATATATTATATAAATAAATTGTATGTGTGCAGGTATGTACTTATAGGACTGTATTTTGGTTAAAGCAATCAAGCTATTTAAGTTAAATTGTTAAATTTAATATTTTATCTGTATAATAAAGCTACTGACTGACATGAAATGTTTGAGTAGAAACAGACTTCATACAGAAAAACAAAGTAATGCATGTAAAGGGCTGCCAAGTGTAATACAAGAAGAATCTGAAATCCCAAAAAAGTCCAATATTTTAGACCTATAAAATGCAAAGTTGAACTGTTGACATCTCAGTGTCACAACATTCGTTAGATGATTAATTTAAATGTCACCTGTCTATTTTTAATTTGCTCTTCATTATAAATGAAAATACAGTCGACCCCCCTATAAGATCATAGATATGTTCCATTTTTTAGGAAACCGATTTCTTACGAGTCCTTCCAATCATAGCCTGACACGTGTCAAGTTTATGGACTACGGCTGTTTGAAAGGTTTTCTTCCGTAAAATTAATCGATTCTAGACTAATCCGACTCAACATTTCCAAAATACGTATATTTTTTGTGGAAATAATCCGTATAAACTACGCTATAAACAAAAAATTGTAGAATTACTTACCGAGTGTGCACCGCAATTGCTAATGCTTGTTTTCGTCGCGGAGCATCCCTCCGCGATGAAAACAAGCATTAGCAATGACGAAAGTTTTCTGATAAGTTATTTTTCTGCGAAAAATTTGCTGAAGTTTGGAGACATCATTAATATAAACAATTTTTATCGTCGTTGAATAAGAAATGTTTCTTTCACAAGAAATGTATAAAATTACAGTACTGTATTAGATTTATGGTAGCTAATTTACATACTGTACAGACGATAGTTAGCGTAAAATCTCCATAGCATAACGCCACACGGCGGAAAAAAAATATATAATTATAATAAAGTTACAATAAATTAAGTTAATATATATTTATATATACGGTACCTAATTTATATATAATTTATATATAATACTGTACAGACGATAGTAATCTCTCCGTAGCGTGGCACTACAGACGGCGGGAAAGAAGTTCGGCTGCCCAATGACGTTTTACGTAATTATAGGAGTTTTTATGGATACCGTCGCAATTTTTTCGAAATTTTATAGGAATCGTAATTATAGAGACCGTAATTATAGGGGGGTTGACTGTATATAAACTGTCTATTGCTGTTACTGGTAAATACATTTAATTAACAAGTACGAGCACTTTCGACCATATATGACCATCTTCTTCAGGTAGTATGGTGGATGGAACATTATAAATCTATAAATAGAACATAATTTCAAATTGCTCTTCATGCAAGAGCATGGAATATAAAAATTTAAAAATTATATGCCATTACAAAATAAACATAATATACAATGGCAATGGTTAACAAAAATAACAGAATTAATATACATAGAAATAATTGATAAGAATATAAAGTAAACTTAAAACATAAACACTGGAGTCCCCTTGTCGTCAGTATGTTCTTGTCACATAACTGCATGACTTATGATTTTAGCAAGTTGAACAGCACAATCCATAGCTCTAGAATATCAAGTATGAGAGAGTTGCATGGGAACATTGATGTAATAAACAAAGACTCCAAATGAACAAGATTCTCCTATCCCCACAGTGTTTTACTAGAGAAACTTGTGACCAAAGAGGATCAAAGTTATATTCCATCTTTGGTCATAAGTCATCGCTAGTAAAACATTGAAAGTGCTAGCAATATAAAAACTGTTAACACCGTACTCAATGAGTTTTCCTTCCTTTGCTTTCTTTAGATACCAATCTTGACACACAATGCTCACTTCTGGGATCAATAACACATGACTGGCCACTATGTGATCTGGTGGATATTTGTGCATGATCTATCCACTTGTGATATACTCTGGACATCGTGGTACAAGAACAACCAGTTCCAAAACAGAGTGCAGCTGTTTTGGAAATACTGGTACCCATTCTTCAAGCCACAACAATCCGTCCACACTCAATTTGCTCAAGCCACCCTGTTTGCCCATGACTGGCAACTATTGCTTTCTTCTATGCCAATGACAGGTAAACATATGACTGCAACAAATTGTGACATGGAAATTATAGGACATCTCTACTGCTTCTGAGATGGTGCTGTCTTGGTGTTCCTAATGCAGAGATTGTTCAGTGTATATTATATTAATAGATTTCTTAAGTTATATTAATATATTTTATGAATAATACATTATCATTGTTATAATTTTTTTCGGTAATCAAGATAAAACTATGGATAATTTAAGAATTTTTTACTTCTTTCCTATTCAAAGTATTTAATTTGTTAAAAAGGATTGTTTGTAAAATTACCCCATTTCAGGGGTTTTTTTAACCTAAAAGAATTAATATAATTAAATTGTTATAATTTTTTTCAGGCTTTTCCTTGCATATCAACAGGAGTATATGGTATGAATGTTTTTCTTAATACAGTGGGTGATCGGTTAACGAACATAATCCGCTCCAAGATTTTGTTCGCTATCCGAATTGTTCATTAACTGATTATCAATTTACCATAGGTTTCTATTGAAATTTGATTAATTCATTCTGGAGATCCCCAAAAAATAAAAAATATATACTTTCTTACTATGTTTATTCATATGTAATAATAAAAATACATATATACACAGTCTTGCATTTTTATTAGTCATGTTTTTTCCGTTTGTGGGGGTTAAAGAATCTGTCCAGTGTCGATTGCTTTTCTGTCTTCTTCATGATTTTACAGAAGTAATTAATAGCATTGTAATTGTAGAGATCCCTAGGCCTATTAACCTCAACCTGGTTTGGATGCAATTTTAAGACTGTTGTTCTGACATCCTCCCACTTCTTCAAAGGGTCTTTAATAGCAGATGTTGGCATAAATCTGCATTTTCAGAAGAAAACGTAAAAGAATTGTTTCTGTCAGAAATATAAAAGGCTGGAATTACAAGGGAGAGTTTCAAAGTTCGGGGGAATACTATTCAATCAGTATATACTGGGCAGAACGTTGTTGTTGACGTCTCCCTCACTCCGAAAAGTTTCAAATTGTTGCCTGAAGACAAAGGAAGACCAATCGGTATTCATTATTTCACATTGCTTCTTCTTGTGTTTGTTCAGTGAAGTGTTTGTTATCCGAACATGTATTTGTTGTCCGATCATAAAAATCTTTTGCGAAAATGTTTGTTAACCGATCACCCACTGTATATTTTTTTTATATGAAGAACATTTACAATTGTTAAAGATTATATTTATTATTATTATTTTTTTTT